ATATCAAGTCAAGTACAACATTATTCGAAGTGTCCTTTTCACCACTGGATCAAATGTCTTTCAAAATGTCCAACTAACGGACATCGATCTTAAGTTTCGGGATGAGTGGCGAAATGATATTTGTGTGTGTGTTGCCTTCATCGGTATGCTCGTGTGCATTTGGGGTATTTTGAGGTGTGGAGGATAGGCAGCCTGCAGTTTTGGATCAGCATCCTTAGCGCGCTCGAAACCACGTTTCGCATGCATAAGCGTGGCCCTGCATAGCAAAGGGCTTGTTCAAAAGCAAATGCAATCAAACATCCGGCCTTTCTAGTGACATTTAGGATTAGTTCTGACTGTTCTGATGGGTCAAAATAGCATTTTTTTCTCTCGTGTGAACCATGCAAATACGTTTCGCACAAAAATCTGACTCATTTTGGTTTCCTATACTTGGAATTGTGCGTAGTCTGCACATGAAATTGAATGTACAGTCGCTCTTTGCGCTTTGCACTGTGATCGCTTCTCGTAAATGGTGTCATTTGTCTTTTCCTTGGCTTTTGTGGTCTTTAGAACTTTCGCTAAGCAAAGTACAATAATACATCAGGGGGGGCGTCTTGTTCCGTATGTGCGAACGGTGTTTATCACAGGAGCTCAATGACTGAGAGCGCTCACCACATTTTCTGCCGGACATTATTCGCGCACGACCACAACTACTTCCTGACCTCTCTGTAGCCCGACAGACACTGCAGAGTCGTGACACACTTCAACCAGAAAGTGGTTCAATGACTGCTTTTCTTCCACTCAAAAGATTGAGGATTCAATTGCCCGAGTGCGGCAAAACCCCTCTTAATCAGCGTCAGATTTTGTCATTTTTGACGTCGTAACATCGAGACTGCAAAGTGACAAAGCCATTTTAAGAATGACTCCTTTTTAATATTGAGATAGCCGTATGTCTTTTGTAATACTGCCCCCTGCTGGCCAAGGCGTGCACACCAGAAGTAGCAGCACGATGTCCATTAAAGTGAAGCAAGATTCTTTCCATTTTATGTCATTCGAACATGACTGTGTGATTTTTATGGGGATAAATTCCAGATCACTTGTGGGGCCCAGATTAGGTCAAGCTTTGTAGAAAATGGATGGATGGATAGTAGTTTGTATGAAAACTAATTAGTAGAAAGATGACATAGCACAGAGGAACATTAAATTGTTTGACAAAGCTTCACTTTTATCTGTTGCACATTAGTAGCGGAGTGTGTGTATCTCTCTCTCTATATAGTCAATACACTCTAGACATGTTACTTGGCAGCAAATATGAGAATTGTGATACTTCTTGGAATGAGATCCTGGGAGTCATTGTTATCTTTCTAATCTCCATTAAAATCAAATTGCATTTGATCTGCTCTGCGTCGAATCTTAGAAGCCTTTGAGTCATACTAATTTATATTGTGAGCAGAGACAAAACGTTCATCTGGGCAAATGTGTGGGTATCCCTAATGGCCATGTGCTGTTGGTTGTTGACAACTTCATGCAGGCTCTCGAAGAAACGAGTTTAACCCTTTCAGGGACAGCCGTTACTACAGTGGACAGTTTCCCATCTTATCGGGTTACAGGGTGCATGAAAGGGTTAATATGTCTGAAAACATTGATCGCTTCTTACAACCCGCTAAACACACGCAAATACAATTAAGTCATAATGGACAATTCATTCCAACTAGTATTTCGACGAAAAAGTATTCATGTGAGCGTGCCGCATCAATCTGAGCCGACAGACGAATATGACGTGCCATGTGTCATACAATCATGACTGCCAGCCCGCTAATGAGCACTCGGGGGTCATGCAGGGGCTTACAAACAGCAAGCAATTACAGGTGTCATCGTCTTTATTAATGTCTAATAGGGCGAGCACCCCCGCCTCCACCCCCCGTTGCTTTCTATTCCTCCCTCCGGCGTGTATTCTCCCCCGGTTTTTCTTCCGTTGTCTGGTGTGACTGATCACCGAACGTAATCCCGTCAGTCATGCCCATTTCTCTTTTTCGACTCCATCCCCACATCGACTGCGTGCCCGTGCGCCACTCCGTCAATCCACACCGACCCATTCCGGGGGCGGAAGTAATCTCATTACGACGACAATCACCCCACCAGCATCGACCGCAATCGGGTACACATCTCTGATGAAGATCAGGAAATGAAAAAATAGCCCTCCGTAGGCATTCACGATTGATCCAATGAAAGCCTGATGTGGACAAAAAGACTCAAAATGCACTTTGTCACTATTACGTGGAAATTTGATTGAAATGTGTCAACTCCGCGCCCAGGCATGCTTCAAAGTAACAAAATAATTCAACTGTTCAATACAGTCGGTGTAAAGGAAGTCAACTACTCCGTAGCAAGAAATACAAGCAAAACAGCATGTCTTCCCCGTTGGTAATAAATCGCAGAATAGTGCCTGTTCTGAAAGCGTACTCGCTCGTGAAATTCAGTTTGACCATTCGGAATTGTGAATGACAGATGCAGCCTGCTTCTTTTTCTCTCTTGAGCTTTCTTTCTCACTTTCCTTCTTTTTCTGTGTTGTCACATAACTCGGAAGCTTCTCGCTGAACGCGCCCACCACTTCCTGCACTTTTTTTTTTTTTTAAACATTCAACGACTGCCTTTTGTGAGAATCGGGCCGGCGGAACCTCCGTCCCTTGAATCAGCCGCTGTATTATGACTGAACATAATCAAAGTAGGATCAGGCGTGTACCTTGAACCTCTAATCCATTTTTTAATAAAATCTTTCTTTTGTACCTGGATATGAAAGACTTCATTTGCATTTCACCCCGTATTTACTTGTAGGTTCATTTGCCTCATATTACTTTGGGAGCGTAATTAATTCTTAGTTGCCGGCCGACGAAGGTGAGCGTATGACACCGCCTGTACGCATGCGATAATTGGATCTTTGCGGATAAAAGGCTCACGGGGAGAAAAAGCGGACGCCGGGATCTCTGTGGCCTCAATGGGAGCTTTGGTCAATTGCCTGACAGTTCATCAGGCGTATTCCGATGTGCTTTGTTTGGATGAAGCCGAAAAAAGAGCATGTTGGATCAGTCCATCATCCCCACTGTACAAGCAGTATAACTAACCCATGATTGGGTTCATTATTCTGACCCAGAAGATTGGATTTGGGCGAGCTGAAGATCTGGCTGGTCGCCATTTTTGAACATTTTTAGTCACAAATGAAATAATGAAAACCGAATAACCGTGGCGCGCAAGGCCAGAGTGTCCCGACCGAGCACCGTCCCGTGTGTATAAAATCCAGTTATTAAAATTCTTGGAAGGCAACAAAACTGGGGGAGCGTCATGTTGTTTTTTTTTTTTTTTTTTTAAATACGAGGTTATACAATTACATAACTCCCTGACAAGTTGCGTTTTGTTAAAGTGTTGCTCAGCTTCAATAAACTGAAAGCAGGAAATACCAAATCAAATAAGTCTATTTATCTCTGAAGGATGCTCTCGGTGCAAGTATCGCAACCCAAAGGCATGAAGCGTATTTTTAGACGTCCGCCTCTTTGTATCATCGCAAAATGGCTATAAGGTGGGGGCGGGCTATCACCAGTCAGAACACTTCTGTGTCCTTAATGAGGCGATTCCTGGAGGACTTGTGACGGTTAGACGGCTGGATCTCTTTCACCCGAAAAGGAAAATCTTTCATTTTCTGTGAATCCTGCCCCCCCCCCCACACACACACCACACCCCTTCTTTCACATGCTCATTCATCCGCCGCACATGAATGAGTTCTCTTCTTCAACACAAAAAATGTGATACAACGAATGCGAAAGATGATAGAGAATTTGTTTCTTTATTCATTTAATTACAAATATACTGCCCACGAGGCCGAGTATTGTGGGTGTCCTTATTGCATACTTAAAAAAAAAAAATACATTAAAATCATTTTGTTGCAAAGTAACAGCATCGATTTATAAATTGTGCTCAAGCTGGTTTTATTGAGGATACAATCGAATTGTCATCCGACGTTTTCATCGTGTGGGAGGCGAAAAGTGGAAATAAGTTCTGGTCTTAATTTAGTTTTTCGATTTTATTTCATCCATCAAATGTGCTCACCGCATTTTTTCAGACCACCTTTTCGTGAAAATGAGAGGGAAAAACATCCAGCTGACGTGTAGTGCTTTAATGCAGACGCTTTCCTTTTCAGCGTTTCGCCGTGTGGAACAGAAATTACGTTTGAACGGACCTCACCTTTTCTTACCTGAAGTAACCAGACTTGAAAAGAGAACGCTGACGCGTGTCATTTCAAAGTGAGTGTCAAGCGCAAGTTTCAGTCAAGCGCCGATGTACACCATGTGGGTGTTTGCATCTTGACTCGATTTACCTTTTCATTGAATTACCAACAATCGCATTACATTTTGCATCCGTCCATAGATTAGCCTTGTTTGATTTGATTTCATCGGGCCACTAATACATCGGTAATTGAATGAAGTCATCCACCTATACGCGTTTTTTTTCTTTCTTTGCATACGGCGCACCCCCCCCAACCCCCCC